GAATCCTCTGAAGAGACTGGTGGTCAAACTTGTCATCAGTGCCGAAGGAGTAAGAGAGATAACGTTATTTGGTGTTTTAAATGTAATCGAAGAGGGTACTGTGATAGCTGTGTCTCTACATGGTGAGGCTAAATTATCTTAACAAAACTACTTTTCTTTACGTGTTTACTTGTGTGCTTAGTATATATCTTTCACCTATTAGGTACCCAGACATCTCACTGGAAGATATTCAAAGAATATGCCCTGCATGTCGTGGTACTTGCAATTGTAAAGTTTGCCTTCGTGGAGATAATATGATAAAGGTATGGATTAAAGGTTTTCTATTCTTTTGATTACTCGGTTTCAAAAGCCTGTGAAACACATGCACCAATTTGCTATTGACATAAACTGCTAATCTGTCAGTGGTTTGTTGTGTCTGTCTCTATTGTAGGTAAGGATAAGAGAGATCCCTGCTTTAGACAAACTACAGTATCTCCATAGTCTGCTGTCTTCAGTGCTTCCGGTTGTTAAGCAAATCCACCATGAGCAGTGTTCTGAAGTAGAGCTGGAGAAGATGCTCCGTGGTGAGATGCATTTGATTTTCCAACAGAATTTTGATTTTGACTTTCATTCTAAATACCATCTCGACATGTTTTAACCATTTTGTCTGCATATTGTGTTTTCTTTCAGGAACTGAAATAGATCTTGCCAGGACAAGATTGAATGCAGATGAACAGATGTGCTGGTACCTTTTCAACATTGATGAGCTATTTCATTTTGTTTTATGTTGTGTTGTTCGACCTTCAATTGTGTCCAAGAGTTTCCGATCACGACTTTATTTGATTCTGGTGTTGCTTATTGCAGCAATTTTTGCCGGATTCCTATTATTGATTACCATAGGCATTGTGCCAATTGCTCGTACGATCTGTGTCTTAGTTGCTGTAGAGATCTTCAGGAAGCATCTACGCCTTGTATTAATGGAGTTGTGGATAATAAGATTGGTGGAATTCAAGAAATGGAAACCTTGTTGGAGCAACCGAAAATACCAAGAGTCAAACAAAACTTTTCAGACAAGTTTCCTGATTGGAAAGCGAATGGTGATGGCAGCATTCCATGTCCCCCAAAGGATTATGGTGGCTGTGGATATCCATCATTGAATTTAAGCCGCATTTTTAAGATGAATTGGGTTGCAAAACTGGTGAAAAATGTGGAGGAAATGGTGAGTGGATGTAGGGTATACAATGATGGCTTACTGGAGAAAACTGAGTTTAATGATCATAGACACTGCCAATATGCTCATAGGGAGGATGACAGTGATAATTTCTTGTTCTGCCCCACATCTGAAGATATTAAATCAGGCGGAATTGGTGATTTTAGAAAGCATTGGGCCAGAGGTGAACCCATCATTGTTAACCAGGTTTTTGATAGTTCATCGGTTTC